TGGGTGCGAGGACACAGCCCTGCTTCACTCCATTGGTCACTGCAAAGGCTTCGGAAACCATCCTGTCGTCCGTGACGCACACCATCATCCTGTCGAAGAGCTGACGACGAAGTGCTCAGGACAGCCAAATTTCTGTATGACATTCCAAAGTCCAGCGCGATTCACCAGGTCGAAAGAGTTCGTCAGGTTCACGAAAGCGGTGTACAGGTGGGTACGCATCTCCTGGCACTTGTCCTGCAGCTGTCGTGCGGCGAAGATCATGTCGGTGGTTCCGCAATGACGACGAAAACCACACCGGCTTTCTGGCAAGAGTCCTTGTTCCAGGTGGTTGTTGAGACGGTTTAGGAAAACACGAACGAAGTTTTTGCCGGCGGTATTGAGCAGCGAGATTCCGTGATGATTGTCACAGAGTTGGCGGTTCCCCTTTCGCTCGTAGAGATGGACAATTGTGGCGTTCTTGAAGTCCTGGGGGACTTGGCCACAGTGGCCGCCACATTCCCTGGAAGAGCGCGGTTATGTGAGGTATAAGTTGGTAGCCACCGTAATTATAAATCACCGCAGAGATCGTATTGGATCCGGGTGCTTTCTCGCTGGAGAGTTGCTGCACAGCCTTGACGGTTTCCTGAGGGGTGGGAAGTCGTGTTCAGCGTTGATTTCCAGCTGAGATAGACGGTCGGTGGCTGCCTCGGCGATGGTGGAGTGACGGTTGAGTATGATTTGGAAGTGCACAGCCCAGCGTTTCAGAATCTGTGTCTTCTCTGTGAGTAGAATAGTTCTGTCAGCGCTGAGAAGAGGAGCTGTGCCTTTGACTGTAGGATCGTAAACAGCTTTGATCGCAACGAAGAGGTTCCACCATTCATTGCGGTCCGCTTAAGCTTGGATTTACTCGTCTTTACGAGCCGTTTAAGCATCCTGCATCTCCCGCAGCCGCTGTTGTACAGGACGGCGACTTTGGTAGAAGGCTGCTTTCCAGGCGTCTGTAGAACCGTCCACGTAGGCTTTGTGCAGACGATTCTTCTCGGCGAGCAGATTGCTGATGGCTGCATCATTTTCATCAAACCAGCCCTGGTGTTGACGACGTGCGCGGCCAAGACCACATTGGGTGGTAGATTGAACAACGTCCCCTAGTTGGAACCATCGGTTCTCCACGGAGGCGGTCTCATCTGCAACTGGAAGATTATCTAGCCGTTGAGCCAACGCATTACTGAAATGCTCATGGTTAGCAGGCAGATTTAACAAAGAAGTATTCAACTTAACTTGGGATCACTTACCTTGAGATCTCCTGTGCGGTTGAAGGCGGATCCTCATCTTGGAGTCGACAAGACAGTGATCGGTCCACTCGTCGGCACCCGGCATCGCCTTTATCACCAGCATATCCTGCTGGTCACAAGGCCGGGCGAGGACATAGTCCAGGCGATGCCACTGCCGGGACCGCGGATGCATCCAAGTCTCCTTGGGCTGCAGAGAAAGGTAAAAGTAGGTATTGGTCAGGATGAGATGGCGCTCTGCTCAAGTTCGGAGGGGGAGCAAACCATTGTCATTTAGTCCACGAAGAACGTGGGGAACAAGCACTCCTCTCCAGACAACGTGGTATGTACCGACGCAAGCGTTGAAATCACCAAGGACAAGCAACTTGTCCGCCTTTGACACAGTCGTCAGGAGGGCCTGCAGATCCTCGT